ATTGTTTTTGACTTTTTAGCAGAACCCTGCTTCAAAAGGTCCAAACGAGTTTAAAAAGGGGGGCAGGCCAACAGGGACTAAAAGAAGAAAAAGAGAGGATGGGGTGGAAAAAGCGGCGGGGTGGGGGGGTGAATGGTGGGTGGGTGGTTAGTATTTATAGACAACAAGTGATGGGATGCTCTCGTTAGGCCGCGGCTCGCTGAGCAAGATCACAGGTGCACCGCCAAGAGGTCATGTGACCGCATTACACACTTCAGCACCCTGTGAAAGCAACAGAAAGGGAGTGAGGTTCGGAGGAAGATCAGGACCGAGGAAGCAAAGAGGGTCAGAGATGAAAGGAAGAAAGAGGGAGCAAACTACCCCTGAACCCTTCTGTGCTCATTGCCCTTTTGTAACTAAGGAGCATACAAACAAACCCCCCACCCCAACCCCCCATCGAATCATTTGGCGGACGTGCTGCTCTCCTACTATTTTGGCACTAATCTCAATTACCCAACGAGGTCACAACTTGGTTTCATAACTAAAAAGAAAACAAAAAAAAAAGACTTCATCAGACAACCTTTGGGCAAAAAAGTTTAGAAAATCTGTTTTTTATGACACAAAATGAAAACTCTGTGAATGATGCTTTGGTTTACAAGCTATAGATCTCAGAGGAGGATCTCTAGATGTTGTAATTTCTGAAGCTACTGTAATTCCCCCCACACACCACCCCTTTGCAGGACTCACAGTTGTAATCCTCCAGATATGACACCTAAAAGTCAAAAGCCTGACCCAAAACCTTGCAGAGCCTCAAGACTTGAACCTCGTGACTCATTTGTAAGAAAACTAAAACATGAGGTCAGTGGATGAGTTGAGATGGATTCTGCATTATCATAAAGTAGATTATGTCTGAGGAAAAGAAAAGAGAAAAGAAAAACAGAAGATCAATGCAAAAGATGTATGGAACAAACAATGCAAAAGTCACAAAAGAACGAGGACTTGTCTGGATGTGAAGATTATCTGACTGTGCAGGACTAAGGATGAGCACGCTCACAGACATACAGAAATACCACATTAAAGAACACTTGTGTGGGCAGGTGAGTGCAGGGTCGCCGTCTCTTTCAACTCAAGCTACTTCAAACAGCACCCTGCATGAAGACGAAGCCGGGGCCTCAGCACCGCAAACAAAGGCGGTGCCTCAAATGACGCACTCACAAAGGGAAGGTTAGCTGCATAAAACAACCACCTGTGGAAGATCCTACAAGTTCTTTACAAGTTCCACTTTAAAACAAACTGCATTCATAGTTTTTTAAACTTAAACATTTGTTATGTTCAAACTGCGTTGAGTCCCATCCTGTATGTTGCAAAATATTGTGTTTACAGGTTACCACAGGTACCATTAAATCAAGACATGCTCAATAAAAAACAATACAAATGTCCACAGTATGGAAAAAAGGGCCGACAACATCACTACCCAAAATCGGTGCAAAAAGATTTTATAACACTTTGGCCATAAAAAATAGCATGCATGTCAATTTGTACAGATTGTCCGTAATTCACACAGATTTTCTGTCACTTTGCAGGTATACAGACGTATAAAGCAATCTCACTGATTTTTTCACGTTTTACGGATTTTTAAAAAAAACTCTGTTTCAAATTTATTTAACATGTCAGAGCATGTACGTTAAAAAAACAATAACATTAAATATCCACTTCCAACCAACTCTGCTGCTAGAAATAAGTTCTTCCATCCTCATTTCCATCTGATATTGCTACAGCCGACAGTCCGCCTGCACCCTGCCCCCGCATGTGATTAATATGGATTTTTTTGCAAAAATTACAGATTTTTGAGGCTCATTAAACAAGTAAACGTCTGAAGGGGTTGACATGTCTGAAATAGCCTTTAAAGATCTGTTGACTTTTTTGAATATACTGCATAATTAAATCAATGTTTCTTGTTGTAAATGTGCAGCTCAAGACTGTAGATGATGACATTGAATAAAAATATATCTCGTGGCCATGTGATAAATAATGCATGACCACAAGATAATGATTAGCAGCCATGTCTCTTTGTGAATGATAGAGACATAGTCAAATTATATAGGAATACATTGTTTTTTTAAAGGGAGCCTATTTATGAGGTGTGGGATAATGAACACCCTAGGTGTGTCAAGAAATTTATTTTTTGCTTTGTTCCTGGTTAAAACATAACTTCAACTCCTTCTGCAACAAAGCGTGGGTGTGAGAGAGGAGTACTGATAAAAAAAAGATTTTTGACAAAGACAACACCAGTCGTCAACTGTCTTATAGCTTCAACATTAAGAATTACCTCATGTCTAACCGCAAGTGACTCAAGTATGTCATTCCTATTTTAAAATGAAATGAAATGAATTCAATCTTGTCCATGTTAACAAGCAAAAAGTTTCTACATGGAAATGAGTGCAATATTTATCTCATGGCCACAAGATTTTTTATTTATTTATTTTTTATTTAATGTTACTGGACAGGTTCCGTAGATTTGTCTGATGACTGAAATACAGATACAGAGAGTAGAGATGTACTTTCAATGAGCTCAGCCTGGACTGTGACTCCACACAAGTTCAGATTCTGTCTGTGTTCTGTGTTGGCTGCTGCAAACATCACAACAAACATTTTGCTTAGGATCACTGGTTTAGAATACATCCTAAATCATAAATTATGTATTTAGAAAAAAAGAGTTGCATCAAGAGGTGAACATTTTCAGTAGCAGTTGTAAACTTTCATCACTGCTCTGTGTAACACATCTTGAACATGTTGCCCACAGAGTGGCAAAACATTCAATATGGCTGCCACAGTTAGTTCCAGAAGTCAGAAAAATAACAAGTGAATATGATCCAAGGTCTCAACAGGCTACCCACTAAAGATTAGGTGGACTATGGAAATTAAATCTGCTTTTCTTATATTTGTATGCACCTGTTTCTGTGCCAGGAAAATTCCCAAAGCAAACACAGAAGCCATTAAAAGCCAAATGAGATCAAGAACACATCTTTTCTGTAAAGTCAATAAAAACTTGGGAGGTTATTTTGGCTGAAAACAGGTCATTTTATACAAACTGTATATTTTACATATTACAGTCTACTATGTAGCTTGTTATGCACTGTGAAAGTTCATTTTTTAAGAATATACTTAATTATTCAACTTAAACTTTAGTTACTTTCTGAAAAGGTTTTAATGAGTAGATCACATTCATTGATACTTCTCTGAGATTGACAATCCAACTGTTTACCTTAAACTACAATTTAAAACAAAAAAATGTATTTCCCAATTTAATTATAAATAAGGGTTAGCAAATAGCCTACAGTTTAAAGCTTACCCATGTAATATGGGATATTTATTATCTTATATTCCAATTTTGTAGCTCCATATTAGTTTTCTTTTGTGAGTTTCTGAAAAGATAATTCTAACTTCTAGCTGAATCTGTTCGTACAGTTGATTGCTCAACAGCTCTTCTCCATTTTAGGTTTGCATTTCTGAGTCACTCATGCCATCAACATCATCAATGTGAAGCAAAGCTTTAGTGTATTTTTCACCCACACACAGGGTAAGAGCAGATCTGGAGTTAGGATCCAGGCGAATTACTCTTTAGTCTGGTTGTTGTAGTTGGATTAAGATGTTAGCTATCCCCTGTTAAGCCCTCCTTGGTAGGCTGGGCTCATCTAGGTCTAAACATGTGGAGGAGGGTGAAAGAGCCAGATGAAAGCGTTACAAGACATAACATGGGCTCACACTGCAAAAATCACTGAGGGCATAAAGTTAAGAAGAAGAAATATCTCCCATTTCCTTTTCTTCCTCCCAGTCACGCATGTTTTGAATGCAGCCCACCGTGTTCCTTCATACATCCCAGTTCTCTACTTCCTATCTTCTGCAGACTCTCAGAATGAGAAAGCTAGATGGCCTCAGCCCTGGTTACTGACTCAATCGCTCTCTGTTCAAACCGGTTTTAAGGTCACAGGTTCACAACAAGGTGACTCAATTGAGCAGCAGGTGGCATCCCATTTAAAAGGGTCCATGTCTTCATTTTTCCCTAACAGGACCCTCACTTTTCTTTTTCTCACCCTCTACCTCATTTTCAGTCTCGGGTTGCAAGTGAAAGAACTTTGGAAACAATAGCGTTTATTTATCTTAATTGCATAAAAGTTACATTTATACAGATGATGTGCTTATAGATTCCACTGTAGTTTCCATGCCAGGTTTGATTTTTGTATTTTAACAATGCCTACATTAAACTACACAGACCTTCGTGTGGACCATGGATGAGGTCTTGTGTCCTGTCGAAAAATGTAAGTAGCTCAAACAGCACTTTGCTATCAGCCATCATTGCTGTTATACGTCTAAACGCGCAAGCGCAGAAAAACTATTGGCTGCAGCCGCCTATAGTGCAATTTTACACCAACACACTTTTCCAAAAACCTCCAATGTAAGAGCTAGATTCAAATAGCTTGGTATCAGAGAAAAAGACAGCTATTGTTGTGTACACAAACGTTACAGAAATGCTAAATAATGTGTTGTGTAAAAAGGGTATAATTCCTTTTCTTTTTCTTTTTTTAAATTTTTTTTACTGCGTCCCTCCTCTGTCATCATTCAGTTCATGTATCAACCACTGGCTCTGATTCGCATGAAGTCCCAGAGCAAGGTGAACATGAAGAGGCTAATCAGTAATGGGGGCCCATGGCAACACTGAAGGCAGCAACTACTTTTACAAGGTTGGGAACAACTAATGTATGATTAATTGTGGTTTATGGAATCATTCAATGAGGTCATTTGTTATATACTAATACTTTGCTCAAATTCCACAAGTAGGAAAGAAAACCTGTCTCCACTCAACTTATTATTAATGCATTAAAAAACTGTGCACCTTCATCAGTGTTTTTATTCTGAATAAAACATTTTGAGGTAGATTTAAAAAGAAAACATTTTACAACTGATCCTAAAACTGGACAGAGGTTTGTTTAAATCACATATCTGCACATGAACCAACTCACCATTCCATGACCACAGTCAGTCCCATCAGCTAGTGGCATGTGCTGGGTGCGACAGCCTTTATGGTCCCCCTCAGCACTTGTACACCACAACCTTTTGCACTGTTTCTGAGGATAAAAATGTGAACAACAGCACTAAATCATTTGGACTGAGAAGGCAAAATATAAATAAATAAAAAAACTATACCATTACAAACCAGTAAGACATGCACATTACATCATTGACTTGAAGTATTTAATTACATATAACAATTTTAGGCTTCATACCAAAGTGTACTGCTGCATATGTTGTGCATATGTTGTGTTATGCATAATGCTGGCAACACAGATGAGTACATTACTTTTGAACAAATCAATCCCATTTCATCCCAGAGTCTGGCTTTAAGACTTGTGCTAATAACAATTTAAGTGCTATTTTACATATTTGATTTAAAGTTTGGAGCATTTATGATTTATTTAAAGGAGACCTGGAACATTAGCTATGTTTACATGAACATAAGTAATAGGAATAAAGGGCCAATCGGGATAAAAAATTGTCATGTAATCTCCCCAATTGGAATTTTCTGATCTGATTCAGCTCAGTCTGAATGAATTTGTAATCCGAATGAGAGGGGTGGTAATGCTGATTGATAATCTGAACAGAATGCATGTAAACCCTTGATCTGAATAATTTATATTTTGCCCATATAAACGATACGTTCAGATTATTTAATCCAAATACATTTATATTTGATCAAAGAATTTTGCATATGTTAACATAACTACTGATTTATTTGGTCTTGATACTTTTTCAAATCTCTGATGGTTCTGAGCCCAGAACACTGTAAAAAAGTTTACTAATGATGCCCCCCCCCCCCTTTATGTTAATCAACAACAGTCCTGCACAACATATAAAACAACAATCTCAGTGATTCCTTTTCACCTAAGGTCTTCTTTGATTTATTTTTTCTAACATACTATCTTACCATGTAAGGACAAATTTGTGACCCAGGACCAAACATCAGCTCACACTGCCTGTTGGCGTTGTAGATCTGACCAGGGAGGAGTGTGGGAAGTTCGTATGTTCTGCCTACAGGCTCGTCGAGGAGGCACTCCCCGTATCCAGTGCTACAAGAAAGGAAGAGTGTGTGTATAGTCACCAAGAAAAGAAAAGCACAAATCCTGACTATTAATGGCATAAAATACATGTTTACTGGACCTTTTTAAGATAATACCATATTGTATGACCCTAACATGTGTCATGTCTTTTATAAATGCTAAGTAAACAGCCCTGTGTTATTGTCTGGGATCATCCTCAGATGCTTTTTTTTTTCTCCTGTGGGTGGTCTGTATAATAACCTAAAATGGACTTGCTTTTCAATGTTATTACTGGATTATTGCTGCCACTATGGAAATTTAATTAGTTTCAAAATAATAGTTAACATTTAAAAACAGACCAAAAAGCTCTTCAACTAACTTTTTTTACTCTAAGTGTGATTTTTCTGGAGTGATGAATGCAAACAAGACAACTGAGATATCCCAATATTTGATCTTTATAAATCAGAGATGGCTCAAGCGATGAAGTATAATGACAGACTGTATGTATCAGCCACACCCTGAGCCACTTAACAAAAAAAAAAAAAAAAAGAAAAAAGCACAGCTGGACTGAACATATATACATCAGCAGTCTGCATATAAAATCAGAAACCTTTACAGTTGTAACAAAGCACCAGTCAAATATGATAGCAGAGAGCTCAAACCACAAGAGCCTTTTTTTTCGTTTTGTTTTGTTTACCTTGGCAAAAAGGAAACTTGTACAAAGGGGTTATTACTCAACATGTCTGCACCACTTTGACAAATTTCATCCTGGACTGAGCAGCTAAAACACCTGCTCCACAAAGCACCAGCTGATGTGACAGGCCAATATTTAGATAGGATTATCCTGGGTTACAATCACTTTGTTTCTTTGCCCTTTCATTGGAAGAAACTGCAGCACATGCTGCCAGCCAACAGGGGCGTGATTGCGCAAGAAGAAAAGTTTGTGCAAACGAAAGCCAAACTGCAGCCTGTCAAGGAATCAGAGGTTCTTATACTGGACTGTCTGTCAGCAGCTGGTCATATGTCAGATGAGAATTCCTGTTCTCAAATAGTATGAACGTAAAGACAAAGACAGCTTGACAGAGAGTAGAGGTCATTCTGACCCTTTTTAAAATGAACCTTTTTTTTTCTGGTAGGCAAAAATATCAGTTAGAGAGATTTCTTGAGGTTTTTTTTAAGTGAGGGTCTGTGGACAGATAATAAGCAGTCAGTATCTTACATGCCTGAAAGGCCTGAATAACCAACTAAAAACTAACACGTATCGGGCCTGACACCAGCATTTTTACAAGTACTCATACAAAATGCTCCTACACTCTGAATCAATACAATTACAGCTATCAGTGCTGCCATCAATACTATATTGAATATGTTACAGTTCACATTTCAAGTGAAAGTTTGTTAGTTCCATGTTTAAGAAAATTATACAAGATGAAAGAAAACTGTTGTCATTTTTATCCATTTTAAAATGTTTTAACAGTAAATATGCTGTATATTTGATTTGATTCAATCAGAAGGGCTGTAAGCGTATACGGAAAGAGAGCCACCTTATTCTAAAAAAATTAATCAGGTTTTAAATTCCTTAGTTATGTTTGCATTCTAATTGAGTAAGTACTCTGTATCGGTACTCAGTATTGGTATTTGGTACCTGAAGTACTCATGCTTGTTTTGAGAAAAACTTGTTTCTGTCACGATCTGTGTTTATTTTCTTAGTTTTCTAGTGTTTTTCAGTGTTCCCCAGTGTGTCACAGCTCAGCTGCTCCCTGTCTGTCTGATTGTCACCCTCGTGTTTCTCCTCAGGTGTTTTGTGTTTCAGTMATTASTMDWCTGTGTATTTAAACCCTGTCCTGTCTCAGTCTGATGTCGGTTCATTGTTTGATTGTTGATTGTTCCATGTGTTCCTCGTGCTCTGTTCCCCTCGTGCTTGTGACTCTCCATACTTGTAAGTTTGCTGCCAGCAGCCCTCCTTTAGTTATTTATAAATAAATTTTTGTTATATTTTTGAGCCTGCCTGCGCCCTGGATCTGTTCCTGTCCGAACCTAACAGTTTCAGTACACCCCATAGTCCAAGTAGGGCCCATGCCAAAGCAGATTGCAAATTTTGTTTTATAAACATTTAAAGTGAGTGAGTTTTACACTGTAATTTGCTTAGAAACCTGTGGTTATTTTCTCTTAACTCTATGTAGGTCTGTGGTCCTTTACCAACATTAAACAATATACTGTATGTACATTTACGTATATATGATATATATGTGATATATATGTGTTATGAAAGTCATTGTGTGACACCCAGTAGAGAGTACATGATATACAGTAGCTATGCTTGTGGTACAGCAGTGTTAAAAATGTTGCTGTTGCATGTAAAATTTAAAATTATTTAATATGCTGGGAATGTGGTGACATTTATTTTAAGAGGCAAAGAAAATAACCAATATCATTTTAGTGCAAGTTAAGTCTGTATTGGGATATAACATTAATGTAAATACTAAACCGATCATCAAAATATTAGTAAATATTAGTTCAGATTCAGCGGTTAGCGGAACTGAGCCCACCACCAACAAGAAGCATTGTTACAGCAAGTAATAATCAACCAAACACAAATTTCTTTACATCTTCTGCTAAATTTGAATGTGCCGTAATTCTTGTTTACTCTTTGCAGGAAACATTGATTATGTTCATGACCTCCAGTTAGACCTTGTGTCACAGAAAATCTGTTACACTAAACTGAGGTTAGCAGAAGAGCTTTGTACAACAGGTAAAATACCCACTGTGTATAGCCCCTGCACAGAATTCCACTAAAAAAATGAAACTTTAAGGGCATCTGTAACAGGTAACAGATAGAATTCTGCACATGGCAGCCATCTGAAGTCCTAAAAATTAGCTGATTTACAAATAAACTGATTGTGCCATTGTGTGACATGCACACAATGGCACAATCAGTCTGATGAAGTCTTGGATGTCTAAACAAAACAGTTTCTGTGAACAAGATACAGAAAGTGGAAATTTACCCATCACAAACGGATGGTATCTGCAGTTGGCTAAATGATAAAGAACATCACTCTATCATAACTAACAGCTTGAACAAATCTATGCACAAACACGTATCAAAACCAGCAAACAGAGGGCTGAGAAAGGAATAGTGGCTTCATTATTCAGCTCTTACACAGTAACACTTTTCATCAATTTTCAAGGGGCGGGATTTCAGTCCACAATATTACACCAATGGAGAGAGATAAAAGAGCAGAAGAGGAATCCTTTTGTGTTTTGAGAAGACATTTTGAAGAGGTGGAGCAGTTTTTTTGTGTTTCACACTTAGTAGTAAAGCAATGCAGACTGGATTTGCTCTTCAGGGAGAATAGGCAGTCAAAACATTGATGTACTTGACCAGATCAGTCCACTGAGCAGGAGTAGGGCTGCCCTAACGCTAGTTTGAATCAATGCTCTTCATTGTTGGCTTGAAACAGACTTCAAAAGCTCCTGAACGGCACTCTCAAAAGGGCTTTTCCCACCACTGAAGCACCCACACAACACCGAGTGCTGATTTAATCTCCCCAAACCTGCACGGCATTTTCATACTTGTTCTCTTCCTGGTTTATCCCACCAGAGCTGTCATGGACCAGGCAAAATGATAAACTGGACGGGATTCTCCATGTGTTTGTCTCTTTATTCAGATCTCTTGATGCTGATGTCATTGCTGGCGGGAAACTATGCAAAGTGCAACCTTATAACACCAAGTGAGACATTGCTTAACCCTGCTCTGAGGATGCATCTGCTCAACAAGAACAAGGCTGTTCTTTGTGAGATCCTTCACACTTAACACTGGAAACCTGGAAAAAGACTAAAAGGGACTTGTCCAGGGACAATATGACCATAACGGACATTTCCCATTAAAAAGAAGTCCTTCATAAGAATCACTTACCACACCGTGGGGTCGCAGTTACCAAATGAGCCGTTTCTAGTTTTTAGTGTGTAAGGGAAGCTATAGCAAGCATGCTACGGTCAGTGGATTTGGGAGACAGCAGAAGGATCCATTGCTATGGTCAGCTGAGGCAGCCCCCTTGTAATCAAACAGGAAATAGTCTTTCAACACCAAGCAATAACAACTCCACAAGGTTTACATTGCTCTGACCTGTCTTCAGAACTCTGATGGAGACTTAGATGCCTTTTGTTTTCCTCAGTGCATCACATCGAAAGTTACGTCCAACTCCAAAGAAAAACACATCAATCTACTCCACGAGAGAAGCCCATTTGTCTGAAATATAAATCATTTTTAGAACTGGAAAGAGAAGCTGGATGTACATACTCTAAAAACTCTGTGATGTACTTGCGACTGCACTTGGACCACGACCATGGGTTGGTATCATAGTTGAGGGTGGGAGCCATGACGTGGTACTGGTGCTTCATGCCTGCCTCACGGCACTTAGGGTTGTCATCATGAGGCATGTTGAACCTGGTGCAAAGAAGGATGTAAAAAAGGGTGGTTAGAAACAAAATGAACAGTAGTGTCTTTGCTGTGTAGAAGTAAGACTATACTAGCCTACAGTACATCTTTGAGTCTGAGGTTTTAAACAATACATTACCTTTTGTAGAAGCTTTTTCACATAACTGTTTTGAAAAAAATGCTTTAATTTTCACTGGACTGACAAGTTAACACCAGTCCAAAAGGAATCCAGACACGAGAAGAATGCTGGTCCAACTCCAATCTCAAAAATGTCAAATTACATGCAAATGCTCTTTACATCACTGTCATATTTTGTTTTACACAGTACTTACATATGGCCGATAATGATAGGTGCATCACTGCCTTATTAGTTTTATGTAAAATAAGTAAGAAGTATTATTATCTTTTACCTTTTTTGTTTTAATTTATGCATTGAATCATAAATTATCTGAATCATAAATTAAGAAAATTTACATATTACGTATCGTTATAT